ATATTGAACGAATGAATGCATAACATACCTTGTCCGTAAATCAATGTTGTATATTTTTTGGGTTTTTGTTGAATTAAATGGTTTTTGGGTTGCGCGGAAATTGTTTTTTCTGCTATTCCCGTCAGGAATAATTTCCAATGGAAATTGCATAAATCTGCATAACGATACAAAACCCCAATAACATTTTCTGTCTGTATGAAAAATGCCCTGCGCGTAGGGTGATGGCCAGGAATGGTGAAGTTTGTCAAGTGTTTGCACATCAAAAGAAATTAATATACGCTATACTGTGAGGCGGAGGCGAAGCGCAGGCCCGCCCCCTTTACATTGATTCCAGGTCAAGGAAAACAGACATTAAGCAAACATTTCCATATTAATGTACCCTTGAACCACTGTGCCCGCAGCCCCGAATTAATGAACACTCTCTCTCGCGAGTAGATAAGCGAAGAGAGGGGTGAGGCAGTGGAGCGGCAAACAGGCAAACATGAACGAACACGTCGACTGCCAACAGCACGTGTCGTCGCTGCGTTGCGTGGGCGTGGGCGAGGGCGTGGGCGGTGGCGGGAGGTCAGTCGACGTCAGCCAAAATGTCACTCAAAGAATACCAAATAAAACTACGCAAAAGAGAAAATAGAAGCTAAAACTGGCTGTGGAGGAGGGGGAGGAGCTATGTAGAAAAGCTTCCTCTGCTCCGTTGTGTCCTGTCAACCCTGCCTGCCAACTGGGGCAAAAGCAGACTGTTGCTTCGTCTGTCTTTCACCTTACTTTCCCACTGACTCTCTCTCTCTCTCTCTCTCTCTCTCTCCCACTCTTCGTTTACCGTTATGTGTACTTCTTTTCTGCTTCTGCACTTTGTTTCGTTGTTGCTGCTCAATTTAGTCCATTGGCCCGCTCCGGCAGACAATTACTCATGGGGTTACACTCGCTTTTTGTTGCTGTTTTGCAGGAAATCTCCCCGGAGACCCCAGCCGCACGGGGTGGAAGTGCATGACACACAATATCCCTTCTATCCCACCCGCCATTAACATGGATATGGAGGTGAAGCGAAATCGTTTTTGTGGTTATTTGGGTGGCATTCGGATTCGGTTGCATGTTCTCTGCTCTCTCACCTTTCTCTATCTGTCCGGCTGTGTGGCAGCAATCTAACAAATAAGCAGTTTCGTGTCCATGTGTGCTGACCGCAGTCAAAGGGAACACAGCACCGCTTGCCCCCGATCTTTCACCAATTAAAGGATTCCAGACAAAGGGAGAACAGTTTTAGGAATTTGGATCTCAAAATCTCAGAGATCAGTAACCGCAATTGCGGGCAGCTAGATCATCGTAAGCTTTGAGCTAGAAATTTCCCCATAGAGATGGCATTTTAATTCTTTTAATTAAAAGTTTAATTACATTTCTGTTTTGCGCCGGATTTCTCAGCCATGAACTCTGGCTTATGACAAGCGCCGTGACACATCTGTGAGGCCCATTAAAGCTGTACAAATTTCATAATGCCAGTGCGCGCTGTCAAAAAGTTTTGTGGGCCGCTGAAGGCAGAGGTGGAGAATGAGAAGGAGCAGGAGGCTGATCTCTGACCAGCAAAACATTTTCATTGCTGCTGCGGCTAACCAATTTAATTCGGACTCGGATTTGCTTTAATATATGTATTTGTATGTATTTGCTGACTGACACACAAGCGGTGACAATTTAATTAATTTGAGATTTGTGGCCATCAAACAAAAGCTAAAACAATAGAAAGAGAATCCAGCGGAGCGCAGATACAATGAACATTTATTTGATTCAACATCCACCAGAGGCACCACCACCCACACGGCACCCAGACCCAGTTCGAGTTCCAGTTCTCGTCGCAGTATCACCATCCACCCACTGGCCACTTGTATGACCAGCGTCTGTTGTCCATCCTCCCCTGAGAGGTCTGCTGTGAGCTGGGGTTTATCATTCTGATCACGTAACGTGTGTGCCACCAGCACTTTTTCATTTTCATTCACTTAGCTTAACTCGCAGAGAGAGAAAGAAAGAGAGAGAGAGAGACACACACACAGAGAGAGGCGGAACGAGAAACGAGAAGCGACTGCTCTAGAAACTTATAGAGACTCTTGTCTTATAATGATTTCTCTTGACGCTTCGCCGATTTGCGTGGGCTGTGATTTCTGGGTCTCGGCTTCAGCTCTGCCTTTCGCTTTTACTTGGTCTGGTCTCGCATCATTAACCGGTGATGGCGGGGGCTGCCCCGTCTCCCTACCCTCGACCCTCCGACCCACGTAGCCAATGTTGGCCAACTGACTGACATTGAAATCGACGTGGGACTGTCCAAGTATGTGTGTGTCTGTGTGTGTGTGTGTGTACATCTGTTTCTGTAGTTTTGGTGAGTGCTTGTGTCTGCCCTGGAATTTGATAAGTTGTAATTCAATTAAAGTTTAATTGGCCAGCCAGCAAGTTGCGGGAACTTATGCCATGAATTTTTTATCATTTTAGCATCGTTGAAGTACACCAGAGATTTCTGAGGTACTTGTGGCTTTCGAAAGTCAGTGAACTTTGGCCAAATTGCTCGAAACCCAAATTCAATCTTCAAAAGGAAGCAACGTTATCAATGAATTTGTTTTTGTTTTCATCTGACAGTTAAATGATCGTAAATGATCAAAATCCCTCTGAATTGTATCCATTTTCCCCCTCCCATTTTGGGTTGCATATTCATTTGTGCTTTCAGGATGTTATTTAATATTTTATTGCAAACTTTCTCAGCCACCATGGATTATGGTACTTATTTCCTTCACATTTTCCTCGCCTGCCACCGAGCTAATCACCGTGCGACGGAGTATAAAAGTTTTGTGCCGCTCCGTCCGCTCCATCAGCTTTCAGCCATATTGGAGCTCTGGCCAAGTTTTTATTTTTTCCGTTCTCTTTTTGTGCTGATTATGTCGGTGCTGGCAGAACATTATTAATTTGCACCAAAGAGATTACGATCCCGTGCATAAGTTTTAACTACTTTTGTGCGGTGGTGTGTCGAACGGGGTGGCTGCACGATGGGCGATGGACGATGGAAACGCTGTGGTAGTAGTTGGTGGTGGGGGAGGCGAAACTTTGGAGCCATAGCTGTCGACAGCGCAGTTTGCACCTGCTTGTGGCTTCGGTTCTGCCTCTGCAGCTGTTTTGTTAGCGCTGCCACATGCCACACGCAATCTAATTTAGTTGGAGAAATACGTGCAAAGCGTGAAAATGGGAAATGGAAAAGGCCAAAATGGGGGCAGGCCACACACCCTTTCAACTGGCCTTAAAGAGGTTAGGCCATTGGTTGGGTGTGGGCTCTCCATTATAATTCGTCTAGTGCGCCAATGTGCTAATGCTCAAAGCCCGTTTAATCCGGCTTTTAAAGCAGCTTTAAAATATGCCAAACAAAAACGATCAGCGGAGAGTGCAGTGCGAAAAAGTTCGCTGTCAAAGGTGGTGCAATGCACTCAGCAATTATTCCAAGGGTTGTGCAAGTACCACCTCCTAACCACCCCTTGCCTTGCCACGCAACCGTGTTTGTCAGGCTCCTCTCGGGGATTTGTGCTCGTTATTTCGCAGGCTATGGCCTCGTTCCGGGTGCCCCTATGCATCTTCAAACTGAATTCTCCATTTGAATTATTCATTCCTTTTGTCGCTGCTGCATCTTCAGATGCCACGCTCGAGGGTTGTTGCGTCCTTGAGGGTTGCAGAAGGCAACAGGCAACGGGCAACGCAGCAACACCACCGCCCAACTCCTCTTTAGCTTTGTGCATTTGGCAGTCTGGCCTGAAAGCCGCCTCAGAGCCAGGCCCATCCACTGTAGCTGTTGCTCGTTGCTCGCAAATCCGAAAGCAATTTCAGCAGCATTAATCATTCCGCCCGCTTCGGCCGGAACACACACACACACACACACACACACACACACACAAACACCCTCTATTGACACTCCATCCCCTGTCACGCTTATCTCCCGTCCGGCCATTTCGGGTTAATGTTGACAAAACGCATTTTAAGCACTTCAGAATTTTGCTTCTTTTGTTTTACTTTTGTTTTTCCAACCGGCCAGCAGCCACAGAGTCCTCCATTCACATCCTCATGTGTGTAAGTGTGTTTGATTCTGATTTGAATGCTACGGCTGGCAAATTTGCATTGGAAATGTATGCATGAGCGGGGACTGGAGCACCACAGGATCGCCCTCAATGCTATCCTGCCATCCAAAAGCAGACCGAAGTGGAATCCAAGTGGCCAGCAGCAACAGCAGCAGGGGCTTTTGTTTACTGCCGCCCTTTTGCCACCATAGTGTGTACATACAAACGGATATCATTGTGATTGTGTGTCCATCCCCACCCAGGTCCGTCACTCCACTTTTCCCTGCTGATGAGTGTGTGTTTGTTTGTCTAACCTTTTGAATCAGTTCCACATACGAACCCAGGGGGCAGAAAGAGGCCATAATCGAAGCTGGCAGATGCTGAAATGTCTGAGATATCAAATGGAAACTGAACGAATGAATGCAGAGTGGAAAGCCCACCAGTGGCAGAGGCTCAGCATCTAAATTGAACATTGCCTTTGACTTTTATTAAATGGTATTCGTTTGCAAATAAAGCAGATCAGATCAAACTATGCTGGCAAATTCCCCCAAGCTAGAGAATAACAATGAATTTTATGAAAGGAAACGACACCAGAAGGATTAATTTAGTCTTTAAAGTATTCAAATGTAAATATTCAAAGATACAAGAAACCTTCTTAGACTGTTACTAATGTTTTAAAAGCTTCTTAAGTTTAATAGAACATTGAAACGTTCAACTTAAACTCTTTGCGAGCATATCCTTCCCGTTCTCAACGCATGTTTTATTGATGAGGATTTTGAACTACATTATCGCATCTCTATTATTTATATATTTATCTATGCATGTCTGCCACACACACACTCACACACAGCCACATCGCTGGCATTCCAGACACTCATCTGAGTCCCCCAAAAAACAATCCCAATTAATATTCATTTAAGCCAGACTCACCCAACACGCAGACAAATCCTTTATTTAGTGAAGCAACTTTTCGCGTTGGGGTTTTCCTCGGTTTTATTCGGAATTTGTCTTAATTTTTTTATATTTTTTTTTTTGTTTGGTTTTGCTTTGGGTTTGTTTAGTTTGGTTTTGCTGGGATTTGTTGTTCCCGAGTTTTTCACTGCTGCTGCTGCTGCTGCTAAAAATGCACGACAAATTAACAGAGCCCTGGAGTAAGGGAGGCAGTAAGGGCGAGAGCGAGAGGGGGACGTAAAAAGAAAGAAGAATAAAAGCTGAAAATGAAAATGAAATGCTTTCCGTGGCAGCCGTGGTATCCTTCTGTCGGGGCAAGCCACGCCCGCGGCTTGGACAACAGCAACAACAAAATTGGAAAATAAAAAATAGGAAAATGTGGAAACTGCAGAAAAGTGTAAAACTAAAACTCTGTCACTTGTTTCTCTTTGCGATGTCTTTTTTTGTTGGGTGGTGGTTTGCACTATGAGAGAGTTTTGATTCGAGCAACATAATGCATGTGTCTTTCCACATTGAACCCCGCTGCCCCACTCCTCCTCTTTCTCATCCTACTCCTCCGCAGCAACTCGCCACGCAAAGCGGGAATTATTTTATTATATTTCACGAAATAACTTTTTTCTCTTTGTGATTGTTTGCGGCACTGACACCCTTTAGTCAAATATTTATCCGCATTTCACCTTTTGTGCGTCTTTGGCCGTGTATTTTACGGTCCGTTGTTCGATTCCAACCCCCTTTCCGCGGGGTTCACTTCCACCTCACGCCTACTCACACGCTGAGTGACCGACCGTTCGTTCACTTGGCTCTTTCAATGCACTCTGTGGACTATAGTGCCGCCGTGTACCGTGTACCGTTACCGTTACCGCTACCGCTACCGTTATGGCGAGCTTCTTTCGTTGAATGAACTGGCGAAAAAAAAGCACCACAACACCGAATCACACACAATGGAACTTTGATACACCAACAACGCAGCGCAACTGTTAGGTGAGCAAAGCTTGCTCTCTCGACTTAGGCTTACTCTCGCTCTGTCTCTTGCTTGCTCTTTACCCCTAATTTGGCAAACAGCCGGCGCAACCAACGCCAACGCAACGCAAAGCATACCCTGCTCCGAGCTTCGTTTCCATCCCAAAAATGGCAAACATTGCCAACCACCCCCCTGAGCCATTAACTGTACGTGTGCTCTCTCTCTCTCTCTCTCTGTCTCTCGCTAAGCGCATGCTCTAAAGCTGCGCTCCAAAGCTCTCAATGCCTGTGTGTGTGGATAAGTGTTGGTTTCCATGTGAATTGGGTGGTGGTGGGTGGATGAGAGAGTATGGCTCTGGGCAGGGTTGAAGCGGGCTTTGAGTGGGTTGTTTTCGTTTGCTGTCACATTGCTTTGGTTCCCCCTCCCCTAGACTACTGTTGCTGCTGCTTCTGCTGTTGTTGCTGTTGTTGCTGTTGAATGTGCACTTTGTTGAATGTGCATTGCGCTTCCTCTGGCCGGGTGCTTTTGTTGCTACTGCAAATTGCCTCGTAGCATTTAAGTCGAATTATGAAAGACTGTGTGTGAGGGACCGAGTGCATGCGCCGTCCCATCCAGGGGCAGTGCCAAACGCGCTCGAGGGGACAGGCATACGGCTGCATTTTAATTAATATTGATTGTGAGTTATTTTCGCAGGGGTGCAGGGGGGTGAAAGCGCAGGTGTGGTTTTAATTTAGTTTTCCAAATGCATATGTGTGTGCTTTTTATTTGTGTGTGGCTGTGCGTGTGGGTGTGGACGTTCAGCCCCATAACCCACTTGCAGGCTATGTGATTATGGATAAATGTTTGCCCATTACAGGGTACACAAATTCAGCTTCATCATGGCGTATCATGTAAATGAGGGGGGAAGCCAACCCAGCGGAGATGCCAAATTTGCATTTCAATTCAACAGTCGCTGGCGCAGTCACCCGCTAGTCCCCCGTCGGCACTGACACGCCAACCCAAGCCACCTCCCAGCATTCACCACCCAGCATTGTTGGTGTGTTTGCAGTGCTTGAACAGCTTCGTCCCATCTCGGTCTTGGTATTTTTTCTGTTTTGCTTTAAGTGTGATTCGTTGTTGCGCTTGACAGCGCGGTAAAATGTGCACGTGCTGCAAGAGCAACTTTCCCCCAGGTATGCGTGGCTGGTTGGGGGGTTTTATTGAACCTGAAGTGTACAAGAAATGGATTTAAGTTTGAATTTTAATTTTCACCCATTGCCAAGTAGAGCCAAGTAATCGATGCAACAAAGCAGACTCACACATCTATGGGTTTTCTTAAATTTAATTGAACTTTAATCATAGTCCGTTTTAAGTTGCGGGCCCCAACATTTTAAATTCAAAGGCGACCGTTGTTTACCATCACTCTTTTTGCGTGGCAGAGCAAACAGCCTGTGACAGCCAATACATTCGACCCAGTGTTGAAAAAGTTCGATTTGACCGCCCAATCTTATTCATAGTTACGGGCCGCAAGTAGGCAATTACGTAACATTCTATTGCCATTTACGTTACGTTTTGCGCTTTGTTTTCGTTGTTCCTTTTAAGTTCGAACCTTATTTTTTATACAATCCAGCAAAAGGAAGTCATCAAACCAGCCAGTATTCTAGAGACCATTCCTCATAACCTTTTAATAATTAACGGAATACCAAAATTAAGGAATATGATTTGCATCAGTATTGTTCGTGTATATTTTACGTATATCATAACGCTATTTCGGTATTTTTTAAGGGACCTGCGGTGTTTGCTCGACTATCACGCGGTTACACTGGTCACACTTCAGCTTTGTTAAATTTTATTTTATTTTAGCATAAAAACGTGAAAAATAGTATAATGGGTAAACGGAGGACGCAATCCCAGATCGACTCGAACTCGAGCGACAGTGATAGTGAATCGGACACCAAACTGGAGTCGGTGAGTACTGCATAGAGAGAAAATTGAGCCCGCGCCCCATTGTCAAGGGGCCAAGACCCAGGGCTGCGCTGCTGCGTGCAGCCATTGCGATGTAACAAATCAATGGCAAGCCTTTTATGATACCAATTAAACATAACTGCTCCCGCAGGACCTCCTGTCGGTGGCCAAGAAGCGCAAGAAGCCGCAAAATGCCAGCAAGGCGAGCTCCCTCTCCGACTCGGGCTCGGATTGGGCGAACAACAAATCTGGAGCGCCTGCCACAAAGAAGAAGAAGCGTCCGAAGAAGGCCAGCAGGGACTCAAGTTCGTCAGAGTCCAACTGGGACGAGGAGAGCCAGGATGAAGTGCAGCCCCCGCCTGTCGAGAAGAAGCCCGAGGAGGCTCCGAAGCCCGGCAACGTCAGCGAGCACGAGGAGGGCGAAGTCTCCGACAGCGACTCGGACGACTCGAAGTCAAACTCCTCATCTGGCTCCGATTCATCCGGCTCGTCCTCGTCCAGCTCCGACGCAGAGTTCGATGATGGCTTCGACGACGACATGATGGGCGACGAGGAGGATCGCAAGCGTCTGAATGATCTGTCGGAAAAGGAGCGCGAGACGGAGATCTTTAAGCGCATCGAACAGCGGGAAATCAGGCGAACGCGCTGGGAGATCGAGAGAAAGCTGAAGCTTGCCCGGCGTGGCGAAAGAAACGAAAAGTCAAGGTCAAAGGGGGAGCGGGCCAAAAAGAAGAAGGAGAAGAAGGCCAAAAAAATCAAGGAACTGCCCCCGTCTATGCCACCGCCATCGAACTCTGTGCTATCCGAACTGGAGCCCAAACCTATCAGCGATGTGGGCAGCAAAAGTCCCCTGCCTCTGAGCGCCAGTCGGGATGTGGCCTCAACATCGGCGGCCGTGGCCAGCATTCTCAATGACCGAGGATCAGACGATCAGTCTGCCTCTGGCATGGGCGACTATTTTGATCACAAAGAGCGCTCCAAGGAGCGAAAGAAGAATGTGGAGGCCAACAAAACCGATGACAAGCGAAGCAATGCCATGGCCCTGCTGAAGGCCAAGCGAGAGGGCAAGGCCAAGAGAGGTAAGCTCTTGGAAATTGTATTTCCTTTGTTCATAACTAAAATCTGTATAACTTCACTTATTGCAGAGGAAGAGGAAGCCAAGAGGCAAGCCGAACGCGACCGGGACGACAAGGAGGAACTTGAGAGCGTCTCTGGCTGCAAGTCGGCTGTGAAGCTGAAAGCATCGGAGATTTACTCGGACGACTCTGGCAGCAGCGACTGGGACGAGGATGAGAAGCCAACGGGCAAGCGCTCACGTTCGATTAGCAGCAAGGCTTCCAGCGAGTCCGAGGATGATGACAAGACCACCAAGAGTCCTACGTTCATATCGAACCGCGAGGATCTGAACAAACTGCGGCTGTCGCGCCACAAGATGGAGCGCTTCGTCAATTTGCCCATCTTCGAGAGCACCGTTCTGAACTGCTTTGTGAGAATAAGCATTGGCAACAATGGCCAGAAGCCGGTCTATCTAGTCGCTGAGATTACCGGCGTGGTGGAGACGGGCAAGATCTATAGCCTGGGCACCACGAGAACCAATCGGGGTCTCCGCCTCAAGCACGGCACTCAGGAGCGAGTCTTTCGGCTGGAGTTTATCTCCAATCAGGAGTTCACCGAGAACGAGTTCAAAAAGTGGAAGGACAGCTGCCAAGAGCAGCACGTCCAGATGCCCTCCATGGAACTCATCGACATAAAGGCGAACGATATTAAGAAGGCCCTGAACTACGAGTTCAAGGACGAGGATGTGGACAAGATTGTGGAGGAAAAGAATCGCTTCCGCAACCGTCCCACCAACTATGCCATGAAGAAGACCTGCCTGATGAAGGAGCGCGATGCAGCCATGCTGCGCGGTGACTACGACATTGCCCAGGATCTGAGCCAGCAGATCGATGAGCTGGAGAACAGAGCCTCGGAGCTGGACAAGCGAAGATCGCACACACTGAATCTGATTTCGTACATCAATGATCGCAACCGCAAGAAGAACGTTCAAGATGCCGAGAAGGCGATCATGGAGGAGGCCCGGGCCAACAAGGGCCAGAAGATATCAGATCCATTCACACGACGCATCACACAGCCGCGCATGGGTTTCAAAGGCACCAAGAATGACGAGGAGGATATACAGCTCGCACCTCTGCCCCCGCCGCCGCCTGGCAAGAAACGGCCAAATGAGGCCGGCTCCTCAAACTCCAACGCGAAGCCCACAGACGCCAAGGACTTTAGCCTGTACTCGCTGCATGACTTTGACATAGACCTGGATGTGCCTCTGCCAGGTCAGTATTTGCTACACTTGCAATTAATTTCAATCTCTAAATCTTCGTTCACTTCGTTTCCCTGCAGTTAACAGCACAAATTCGGTGCCAAAGCCAGCGAATAAACCAGCCGAAACCGTATCCAAGCGGTCGCTTAATCTGGAGGACTACAAGAAGAAGCGCGGCCTCATCTAGGGCTTGCGACTCAGCCCACATATTGACAAAGCTCTTGCGTTCATGCGTCCTAGTTAGTGTAGTTAAACAGTTAAAACGAAGAAAACAAAAGTTAATTATCGAACTCCAACTCGTTGCAGTTTCTGTGTTGCATTAGAGAACGGACAGGACACATACTACTGTTGCTGGGAAGAGGATGATTAGGGATATTTCAATTGTTATCATTTGTCCAACTATTCTTCTATACTTCTCTCCTAGTGTTTATCTGTGTTAATAATACACTCTTCTATTTAGAATTCAATGCTTAGGAAAAATGTACAATACAAAAACAAAAACCACCCCACAAAAACGATTACGAGCTCGCATCGTATGCCCAACCACTGCTTACTTTAAGTCTCAATTTTCCTAGTACCTAAGTTGAAAGTAAATTGTATTATATAGCTGCCACCGTATTCGACCCAATCATCCTCCATGCAAAGTTTAATAAATTTATACGATACTGATCATAATTTATATAGAACTTAGTTAACAGCAACAAACAACTCAGGCATATGGCGAGGGCTGATGAGATTCCAGGGACAAATATAACAGGCTGAGTTAATTGGATGCAGATATGCAGCAGATGCATATTATCCTTTGGTTGTAAACGTTCAATGCTGTACTAGTTTAAGTTCATACATTTTAGCAGCATGCCTATTATACACATATACATTATTAATAATACATTATATGAAACAAATAAACAAATTATTGTACTATTTAAATAGCTGTGTAAAGTTCATAAGGTGCTGGCTGATGCGACTTATAGTCTGCAGATCGAATGGAAAACCGAACTGTTGTATTGTCATAAATTATGGCACAAAACTAAGCCCAACGCTAAGAAAATAACTAATGTGCGGTCATCCTTGATAATGGAAGTGTCTGTTGGCTGTGGAACAATTGTGTCGACAGGCACGACCCATTTTAATGGATCTAGGTGTCCTTTTTCCAAAGTGTCCTCCTTCAAGTGGACTATAATATTTATGGGGTAACATCTTGCCCGCTGTCTTCTGGAGTCGTGATAACTACGGGTTTGTAGGCCTCCTTCAAGTGGACTGTATTGTGTGACTGCTGTTGGGTTCTGTTCAGATGTATCAACATCTCGCTCGCTTGGCGCCTTTTTGCATCATAAATTGAAAAGTAAACTTCTTCTGTAAGAGGCTTTCGGCTCGATCGACCAGTTGGTGGCCTCTTTTAATTGGTTTGCTGGCTGTTTGTGCAGCTGGTGAACTCCTTTCATGTTCTCACATTTAATTCAATTAATTCGATCAAATTGTCTTTTAATTGAAAGTGATCGCGTTTCGCGTTGTTTCGTCGGAAGCGAAATATCATTTCCAGCATCTCCACAGATCAGTGGGGAGGCTCCAAATATAACGGTTGATATCTTTCAAATCTTTCTTGACTGAGAAATACAGTGTGGCGGGGATTATGCATATAAGTATTTCTGGAACATTTAACTAACATCTCAAGTGCATTCTCTTAACGACTCTTTCAGAGATTTATTCAACTTTTTGTAGTCAAAAGAGAGATTGATGTGGAATAAACTTCAATTGAAAGTTCTATAATGCATTTCCGCTTGGATATTTCCAACATTTAATTCATTCACTGCCAGGGAATTTCGGGCACTGTATCCCAAAGGCAGGCAACGATCCCAGAGCAAACATATTGTTCCCAAATGTTGAATGCGACTGATCCGATCAGAATGGTGATGATAATGGGGGGGGGAGTGGGAGAATCAAGAGCAGGCAGGCAGCACCAGCAGGGTGGGGGCTGCCTGGGGCTTCCCATTGTGGCACAATGACATTTTATCTCAAAATATGCAACAGCAGCACGTTCTCTGAAGCGGAGAGTGTAATAGATCAGTAGCGGAATCTCAATTCAGAATTCGAAAAACTACCGATGCGTGGCCCATGCAAATGTTGATGTTGCCGCTGCTGCTGCAGCCCATCTGTGTCTGTGTGTCTGAGTGTCCGTGTTGATGCATCTTACACTTAGATACATGTGTGTGTCTGGAGCTGTTGCATATGTGGGAGAATCCCCTTGAGGGCGACTAATCAACCGGCATACAACCCAAGCAAGTGGCTTCATCGTCGCCTCTGTCTCTGTCGCTGTCGCTGTCACTGTCACTGCCCCTCGGCTTTGGCGTCTTTCATTGTCTGCGCTCGGAGGCTTCTCTGTATTCGTGTGTCGGTTTTAGGGGACGCTGACTCTGACGCTTCCAGTGGCTCATGGCAGATCACAGCTCCAGCGATCAGTTCAAAGTTGACTTTGTCGCGGACCAGACCGGACCGCACTTATTCCGGCACGACACACGCGACCCTGAATTAGAAAATTATCAAATCTCGGTCTAATTGAATTTAAAAACTTGGAGAATAAATGAAAATGTTACCCGAAAAGTGTGCACTTGTTTGGTGGATATTTGTGGGCCTAGTCCTGGGCTTTGTGTGCGCGGAGCTGGACTTTAACAATGATCTGGAGAACAGCCAGAAGTTCCAGAGTATTCCAACTACAGTGAAAACATTCGAAAATGACACGGTCCTGCTGCCCTGCACCTTGAACAGTAAGTCGATGGATAGAGCTTCTAATTTATAGAGCTAAAGAGAGAGATTTATGCGGATCTTGGGCGATTAGCTTCAGTTAGGTGGGGGCCTTGAAACGGTCATTGGCCATAACAATGGCATTTAATTCGATTGAAGAAATGAACACACAATGGGACAAATGAAGGTATTATCAGTGCATAATAGAGTCCGCCGAGGAAGCGAGTCCAGAAGCGGATTCTGTTAATTGAACGCCTCACAAGCAACGAATTCATGTCATTCCGCGTTGACCCCTCTGTATACCAAACCCTTATATAGATGTTGACTCTCCATTAAAGGATTATTGGCAGCAACACTTAACTGTTGATGGGGTTAACAATATGAAAGAGTTTCAGTTTGAGAGTGAGAGAGAGAGAGCTTGCTGTTTACGGAAATACGATACAGCGGCTCGGCTCGTTGTAGCTAAGATTTAAGAGCGGAAAGAGAAATGCAAATACAGTTTGATTATGAATTAAATTCCATTGCAGCTCCATTCCGATACGTGCGCTGGCACCGCGATGATGTGGCACTGGTGGACTCTCGGCACCCGGAGATACTGCCGCCAGATCGCATCATGCTCTGGCCCAATGGCAGCCTGCAGGTGGCTAATGTGCAGTCGGAGGACACCGGGGACTACTACTGTGAGATGAACTCGGACTCGGGCCATGTGGTGCAGCAGCACGCCATCGAGGTGCAGCTGGCGCCACGCGTCCTCATCGAGCCCAGCGGATTGACGGAGCTGCCGCTTGGAGCCACCTTCGAGGTGGTATGCGAGGCGCAGGGTGTTCCCCAACCGGTGGTAGACTGGAGACGGAATGGACACAGCCTGGGCCAAGGGGCGAGCACGGGCAATCGGCAGAGCCACATCACGGAGATCAAATCGCGTAGTCAGTCGGGTCTGATCGAGTGCTTCGCCAGCAATGGCGTGGGAGAGCCGGCCGTGGCGGGAGTCTATCTGCATGTGCTGTGTGAGTTCCACTTTGATAGCTGACCTTCATCTTGGCATCATTAAACAATGCCTGAAATTCCAGTCTCTCCCGAGGTAAATCTCCCTCAGTCGGTGGTGTACACCAAGCTTGGAACGCGAGCCCATCTCGAATGCATTGTGGAGGCGGCGCCGGCGGCCACCGTGAAATGGTTCCACCACGGCCTGCCCGTGCCATTGGGCACGCACTATTCCAGCCACGAGACCGAGCTGCAGTCCAACCGCTCTCTCGAACACTACGTGAACGGTGTCCGCCACATGCTGGTGATCAAGAACGTGCGCAACGCGGACATGGGACAGTTCGAGTGCCGGGCAAGCAACAGGATCGGTGCAAGGATTGCCAGCATTGAGCTGACCGGCCGACCCATGCCGTGCATCTTCAAGATCAATCCGGGCACGCAGAGCTCCACATCGCACGTGCTGGTGTGGCAGACTGAGAGTTTGCTGCCCATCATGGAGTTCAAGCTGAAGTTCCGCCAGATCCCATCCAACAATATCACCAGGCAAATACGAACCAACTGGACAGAGCTAACGATCCCTGCTCAGGCCACAAATGGTGATTAGAACTTCAACCGAAGGCGGTCAAAATAATCCACTCTAATGCCTACTCTTTGGCAGGACTCATCTACATCACGACGTATACGCTGCATGGCCTTCAGCCGGCAAGTCTCTACGAGGTCTCCGTTCTGGCGAGAAACAGTTTCGGTTGGAGCGACAGCAGCAAAACTGTTCGCTTTGCCACGGGTGGAGAGGGTGAGATAAACTTCTGATGAGGAATAAAAGCGTCTTCTCCATTCTTAAGCCCCAATTTGTTCCGCCAACAGTTGAGCTGCCCAACTATTCAACGGAATCGGAGCTGCAGAACGATGTCACTGAGGAGCAGGACTTCCTGAATGAAATTACCCAGAGATCGGATACTCTGCGGGCCAGCATGATGTTCAATTCGGGCTCAGCAGCTGAAGGCCGTGGGCTTAGTAGAGCCTTGATCTATTCCATATGCCTATTATTAGTCCTGACATACCAGTAAGACTAATTCCTAATGCCTTTGTACTGAACTCTTTTTCCATGTGAGTAAATAAACAAGTATCACCACCAAATTCTTGAGAAGAAAATGCTCGCGTCATAAGGGAAATGAATCAGGAAACTAGACTGATTCTGATTAACTCACACGAAAACAGATAAAGTTCCTTGTCAATGTGTGACTAAAAACAAACACAAATGACTAAGCTTTTGGACTCTTTAAATAGTTACGTAATATTTGGTGGTATATTCGGACAAAGACTAACTGTTGAATTATATATTTATAACCGGGCAAGAACCCATCTTATGTGCAATGATGAGCAAGGGTAAGCAAGGGCCTTAAATGTATTTTCCCTTTTTAATCGGAATTGGACCAGGGAAGAACTACTGACTGAATAGAAATATCGTATTGCGAGCTTGACATGGGAGCGTTTCCGTTAGTATGAGAACTGTATCTATGCAGCCTGGACATATGATATATGTAGTACGTATATAGTTATGTATGGCTCCATGCCAGGGCTTCCTCTATGGACCGCCAAAATCAATTGGCAGTGACATTGCGGCGCAACTAACGCATCTTTCTTGTTTCCCATCCCGCCACCAAGCGCGAGCTTCGCTTGGCTTGGCCCTCATTTTTTGCTCTTTGCCGACAGCTCTCTGTGCCTCTCCGAACACTGAGCCAAAGACTGTTTACCTGCCCCAAAGCACACGAGAGAAAGAAACAGATAGCACGAGTTGGCGCTCGTTGGCACTGTTCGTTTCCGCTGGCAGCGGCAGCGGCAGCGGCAGCAGCAGCAGCAGCGAACGGCAACAGCAGCGCTTTTGGCATCCCAGCACGAGCTCCACTGCCAGTTCTCGTTTGAAAAGCATCGCGTACGGAACGGGCACGAAGAGAATCAAAAGCGCAAAGGTCTCTACTGAGTCTCCATCTAACACCAGGCAGGGAGGCCTTCGGCTTCGCCCTCGCACAACCTTAGGTTTTAAGTGGCCAAAATACAACTGTGCCAAAGATGAAACATTCACGCGGAAATCTGTAAAATTAAGCTGAAATGAGCCCTTTAGCCATGGCCGAAACTGTGCGAAAGCGTTGCAAGTGCAAGTGTTAAACGGTTTCGTGTTCACGTAAAAACAAAAATTCAAAGAAAAACCCAAAACAACAACAACAAAAATATATGAAAAAGCACTACAATACATCGTCTTTTGCCTTTTTTTAACGCTTTAACCGAATTTTGTTGCTGTTGCTGCTGCCGCTGCGGCTCTGCGGCAGCTCTCATCTCTCGTCGGTATCTGGGGGTACGGTACGGGACCAGCAAAACCAGTTTTCTTCCTCTAGGCCCAGGCAAAATAAATACAACAAAACCGAAACCAAAAAAAAAAAAAACAATCTTCTCATCGCATCCATTCTGTAACTGGCCCTGAAGCCTGCCCCAGACTCTACCCAATGAACCTCGACTCTGACTTCATATTGGGTCCGGGCTCTGTTCGATGATTCATAATAATTGCGCAGAAATATGTGGCAAGTGACAGATGTGCCCCACATCCTCCGCTCCACTCTAGAATGCATTTTGGCACTGCAATCGGCTGCCAAAATTCAGATTCAGTTTCAGTTTCTGTTTGGTCTGTTCATTTCTGGCCTCCCTCTCTTTTACTCTCTCTCTCTCTCTGTCTCTCTCTATGTGCATTCTATAAATATGTACGAATATGTAAAATAGTTGTCGCTGTGCCGGCAAACTGGCTGCAACAAAAAGATATACCCGTACATCTGTATGTACTTACACCGAGCAACACGAAAACGAAGCCAAGAAAATCGCCAAACGAAAGCGAAAATATCAGATATGTATGTACATATGTACCAGTGTGGGACAGGAATTGGGTGGAGCAGCGAGCAGCGTCGGCGGAAGAAGGGCCAGCTGCTGCAGAGGATGTGCAGATGACGGTGGAGTTAGGTTGGAAGGGCGGTAGGGATAAGGGGAGAAGTGCAAACAAACGTTCAATGGAAAACAAAACAAAAAGAGAAAGGAGAGCGAGTAGGCGGCAAGGGACCGATTCTTTAGATACACTAACAGATCAATCGATGCTCCGCTTTAATCGAGCATATGATAGAGCCAGAGAATATAAAAAAGCTTTGTTGGTGTTACAAACGATCGTCCATATGTGATATAGTGAAAACATCTGATCAAAATCATTTGACCCTACATAAGGGTATTGTTTGGTAGAAAACAAAGTTCTCAGTTCAATCATTGTGGCGGCAAAGTGCAAGTGCAGTCCACTGCCCTCCAAACAAAATTCCACACACAGATTGAAGCCAGCTGCAGCAGCAGCCGCTGCTTTTCCGCCTGCACACACAAGTGCAGTAATTGTGTTCGTGTGTGTGCATGTGTGTGTGTGTGTAAACTTTTTGAGCGCAATGTAAATAAACAAAACGCCAAAGAAGAAACACCAACAACAACAACATAAAGAGAGGCACTGATTTCAAGAGAACAAAGACGAAGAAGAAGGGTAGACAACACGACAAGCAACGACCAAAAGAACTAAGTTTGCACCTTTCCCTTTACCCTTCACCATATCTCCCTCTTCCTAATGTTCTCTGTCTCTTTGATTTTTTAATTGATATACAGCCTGGATGCGCTCGATGGGTGGTGCCAGCCCAGACGTCTGTTTGAGTAGTAAATTTTGTTTTAGTGACAGCAAAGAGCATTTGTAGTCACGTCGTTAGAGGAAGGTGTCAACAGGTAGTGTCGGCTATACTACGTACCAAGTATACGTACATTTGAAATGTCGCTCAAACAGTTGACACTCCAAGTGTACAAAGTACATGCACACAATATAGTAGAGTTGTGGGAAAATGTATAAATGCATGTGAATGTGCGGAAATTACGGCTCGTCAGTTGTTTTCGCCGTGCGGTGCTAAATGTGATGTTACATGGGTGGAGGGAATGAGTGAGGTAGTCCAGTAGCTAGAACAATAGTAGTATAGAGATGATTTAATAAAATAAAGCCCATGCAAGTTAAGAAATATTTTGAGATTAATTCGAATTTAGACATTTCCTAAATTACATATGGTCCAGATATTAGTACTCGAGTTCAGACTTATAGGCTTAGACTTACATTCGTGTTCGCTAATGGCTAATCACCAGATCATATTTCAGAAAAAATCCCATAAATAATCACATTATCTCTGTGGAAAAACCTGCTGGCATCATCAAACAAGTATTTTGATGTTGCAATGCCAATAGCAAAGAGTATATATCTAACATGGAAGTACATACATTTCGACAGATAAATGGAGTTCATTACTAGAAATTTGGGTTTACTATTGTTTTTTGGCCATGGTTTAATTCAGCAAAACCATAGCATACATTTAGGAGAAAGGCCTCGAGCAATAAGAGTTACTACACATTATTTATTTATAGACTTCTTACAACCAAGAGTGTCAATTAGTCGACTCAGTCGTACATATAAAAAACATACATAAATGCAATAGAAACTTTTCAAATGTTGTTTTTCAAATATTTTCCCAAATGCATCAGCTATGGATTATGATCGTCAGACATTGCGAAATTGTTTGTTTTATGAGTTGAGCACACGAACAAAAAATATGTGCACACCGAGGCAGTGGCTGTCAGTGAGAGGAGAGGAAATATTCATGTCGAATCGTGCACCGTGCAATGTGCTCGTATGAGTATGGGAGCTTTGCAAGCCATATGCAAACAGCTTCTAAATTAGTGGCCCGAATTTGTAGTCTGGTGTACACTATCCGTACATGTGTGTGCGCCTAAATGTATAGACATTTTTTCATTGGCTTTGCTGGTTGTACAATTTTTTCGCATTTGCACATTAATTTATTTATATGCATAAACATTTGCATGCTATTCGACTTGGCACACCCTGACCCAGCAGAACCCCCCGCCCCGACCCACCAATCCCCCCACTTCGACCCACTTTACTGGCATTGAGCCGGACCGGACCAAGAGGGGAGAGAGAGCCTACCATGAGCTGTAAATTAGACAACAGCAGCAACAGAAGCAGCCGCAGCGTCAGCAATAGCAAATGGCGATTTTTCGCATAGAGATCATAATATCTTCGAGATACGACTTATCGACGGAGAGCAAATTGCGAACAGACCACCACACCAGCCACGAGTGCGCCTTGCCTTGCCTTGCATAACCCGGCCAAGTGTTCCACTGCTCGACGGTTTACCCAACGATTGAAAATTTGTCCACGCCATGGCAGTTGCAAAAATTCGTTTGTAGTCCGCGCTTTTCCATCACTTTTGAACAGCTCAATTAGATGTTTCCGGCCCGAAGCGCTTTTCGCATATAAAACGCTTAAGCAAAAATTAAGAAATCATAAAACCAAAAAATATATTTTCAATGTTTTCGATTGCCTTGGCGGCTCCCGGTTTGGGGCCGCGCTTGATGATTGTATTTTGGGTAGCAAATTAATTAAGTACCAACCAACCAAACATATTAATTGCAGTTAACGACCTACCTCCGACAACGCACCGAGCCAAATCAAACAGCAACAGAAACAGGCACATAAACAGCCCATAAACCAACAGAAAGTACAAAATCAAATCAAAAGCAAACAACATGATTAAGGCGAGAGATTCGACGCGGCTGTTGCTCATTTGTCTGCTAATTGGACAATTTTATGGTAAGTCAAGGACTCGGCCTAACTATCTATTAAATCAAAGAACCAATTCGAACTACAAAATTCCAAAGCGGTTTGATATCGCGAGCTAACCGATTGAGTGGGTAATCGAAAATCCAGAGAGAAACTTGAATTTGAATTTTGGGAATAACAAGAATAGGAACAGATAATAATAAATCAATCTTCAATCTGTAGAAAGTGAAGACCAAATGCTAGCTAGTAAAGAGAAAAACTTTTAATGGTTTCATTATCCGCTCAAGTGATCTTTCACTGTACTGATCCATATTTTTACCTCGACTCTTCCCAACCGTATCTGTGGCGTAGTCAACTAAAACCAAATGGCAAATGCCATAAGTAACGTTAACGTAACGATTTTTTGAGCTTTTCAACTGAATTAACCCAACATATAATTGTTCCTATACTTGGCTCTTATATTCTCCGTTTAATGTCTGTTCAATGAATTTACGTAAGTTGCCTGAAATTATGAATTGGGAGCCCAAAACATTTGACGAAAATAAGTATGATCAATGCCGTTAGCCTACATACAATGTACGTACATATCGTACGTATCGCTACCCACATATGTGACGGTACTCATATGTGAAAGCTTTAGATACGGTGGTATAGGTGTCAGTCCCAGGTATTACGTGTGTACCTTGCTTATCTTTAGTTGGGTGTATGTGTGGCTGCCAGTGTGAGTGTACCAGTTGAAAGAACAACAAGCATATCTTATCGCCAAAGAGGGAGCAAACACTTATCTCTACCGTCGGAAAGCTAAATTTTATTCTCTTTCGGTAATATGGCGCAAATTGTTGATAACGGAACACATTCCAATTCTCGTACCGCGGAATGCCTCTTAGCTGGAACGATGGCTTGGAAAGTTATTGGCTCTCCGCTCCGCATACTTAGCAATTGGGCGGTGGGAGGCTGCTGTTCTGGGCATGGAGGGTGCCATGTGTTTTGGAAAAGGGGCAAGATTTCATGGTAGCTTTTAACACAGCTGTGCATATAATGGGATTGAAGCCCATAGGAAACTATTTAAAGCTAATACTCCTGATCAGTTTTAAGTTAAGAGAGAATCAGACTGAGTATCTCCAAAATTGTAGTACCCTCTGCAAGTGTATTAAAACTTCAATGAATAGGGTAAATATTTGTTACCCACGAACGTTGTGCAAAGAATGGCATTTAATGTCGAATATTTGCTCGTAAACTTCTCGCAGCCAACGTCTGTTGCTGCCTTTATGAGGAAAGACGGGAATGGGAGCGGGAACAGTACTGTACGCCCCCCAATGTTCTATATAATCAGATGTCTCTCCCGATCCCAGGCCAAAAGGCCATGTGATGTGTATTTCCCCTCGGTGCGACCACCGACAATGAAAAATATTTGGCTTTTTATTATTAATATTTTTTTTTGGTTTTAATTAAAAGTTCCTTGCCTCCAATTTTAGCCATGAGATAAGCCAACGGTTAGTAGCGGATAGAATAGAAAAATATTCCATAAACGGCCCATATGCAAGAGAATCTAAACTTTGCGCTTTCAAATGAGTTCATTTATCAAAGAATATATTTATGTTGCTGGGTCTGGGGGTCCGCTCCACAATATCAAAGAATATTTGGCCTACAAAACACATTTGTAAAGTTTGTAAATATTTCATAACATTCCGAACAGCCGCAAACAAAATATTTGTTCTCTGTGATGAATTCTTTTGCCAGTTCCAAATCCATATTTTGAGTTGATAAATACTTTGCCGCCTAGCCTAATGGGAATAGTTTATTTACTCCGAGGGAGGTCTGTCAAGGGTAACGAGACCCATTCCATGGGGATCTATTAATGACTTACAAATAGCAGATTCTTTGAAATGGCGGTAGAGTGCCGGGGTCTGGCGGGGTCTGCATATTTGCATAAAGTACATAAGTACTTGAGCTGATTTTTCATTGGGGATTCGTTCTGTATTTTCCAAACAAACCACACACACACACACACAAACAACATTCTCAAATTACGCATTCGCAGGGGGATCGATCGAGGGACGTTGGCCATCCAAAAATAAAGATCGCATAATAAATCAATGATTTGATCAATCAAAATGTTCCAGAGGGTGCGGAGTGAATGTGTGCCCCTCCCTTGATCCCAAACATTTTTTTGTTGTGTTTTGTTTTTTTTTTTTTTTAGGAGTGGAATTGATTTGCCGATTCAATTGATTTCAATTTAATTTTCCATTTATTGTGTGTCTGCGTTTTTGGCGTTTGTTCCTCGTTTCATTTTGTGACTTTATGCAAATTCATGGAATCAAATTATGTACCTACTATGTATACATGCACAAAGTATATAGCCATAGAACGGAGTCGTCTAATTCTTGGCACTTTTATGACCCCACCATCAAAAGTTTGAGATCCATGGACGTAGACCTGCCACAGCATGTCGATTGCTGACTCTGCCAAATCTGCTCGATCTTTCCGACATTTCAGAAATTGTGCAGTTTGGGATTGGCATCTGGTAATATGCCATAATTTATTTTTACACATCTTATTGACTCAGAGATGGACGTGGTGGAGGTGGCCGTAGCTATGGATGTGGGCCATTCTAGAACTGTTTACTCAGTGACCTCATAACTCATACGATCCCAAACGGACCATATGTAGGACAGACAGCAAATAACAACAACAACGTGATCATGAATTTGCAATCAAACTTATACGCAGAACAGTCTTGAAATTAATCTTGAATCAGAGTTATCAATGGGACGTACAGACGTAGGCAACTCCCAGGCTGTCCTCGCTGATATGGAGTGTGACTATGGCGCCTGGTACAAGGAATCAATCTGCGTGAATTATATCTAGGGCAGTGTAATTAAAAAGCAATTCCTTTCAAGTTGAATCGATTGAATGCCTCATAGCCAGACTTAAAGGAATCATATCTGCAGAGGTTATTTAGGCTCAGAATAATTCATTCAATCCATTGTCATTTGAATTAAGCATGAAGACAGTTTCCGAGGGGCTTCCATGTTTACAGAAATGTATTCAAAAATATTAAATTCAGTAGAGTTAGCTGCAATTATAAATACTGCAACTGATTCGATCTAGCATGACTTCATCTTGAAAGGAACGGCAACGGCTCAATCATAAAAGTTGGTCATAGGAATGCGACATGCTCCAGACGACGCCTCAGGCGCAATGCAGGCCACAAAAGGCCATTCATTGTGTATAACATTGAACTTTAAAGACAAAGGGAGTGGCAGCAGCAGCTCAAGCATTGCCTGGGGAGCACTAGAGATGGGGGCCAGAGTCTGGAGCTGGAGCTGGCGCCGCGACATCCTGACGCCATTTTTCAGCCAGAGAGAGAGAGAGAGCGAGCGCAAGTAGCATCCATCCATATGGATGGACTGGCTCTGAGTGGGGGCTGTTGTTCAGTTTTTTATACGTATTTGCAACCCCCAACATCGCTCCAAGGACAATGCGAGCTCAGGGAGCCGGATGACGCATGAGAGATAGAGACGAAGAGAGTGAGAGAGGGGAACGAGTCTTGCCTTGCACTTCTCCTGTGACTTTTTGGCGCTGACCTACTTACGGACTACAACTGGGTACGCTGGGACGTGGAACCGTCTCTGGATATTAATATATATGTACATCTATATGCACATATGTGTAGTGTACTTGTGGCCTTGACACGAGAGGAAACAGCGTGCGAAGGCTGCTGGCGAAGATTGCAATTTCGTCAGCTTATGGCCCACAATTGGATGGATCGTCGGTGAAGGTCCCTCCATCCTCTATGCTCTTGAGTCGAGACGATGGCAAGCTGTTTTTGGACCGACCTGGCCACCAGGCGGCCACTCCATAAAAGGGGCGTCTGGCTGTGCGTCAAGCGGATGCCATGAGGGGCAGCAATTGGATAAGATAACTGGCTCCGACTTTGGCTGCCGTGGCGACTCGACTCTACGACTCTTGCCGGCTTGAGGCTCAAGTGTTTACCTTAAAAAGCTTTTATCGGCAATTGATAACGACTTGCGCAATCCGCCAATATTCATCGTGGCCATACGAGTATATCCAAGATGATGATGTTAGCCATGAGTCATGACACTTTTACCCGTTAGAGACACATATGGCATGCAAATTGTTATGGCTAATACATACAGAACTGCGGTTTGAAGTGTGACTCAAACGCTTTGCATGCGATCTGCCAGAGGAGGAGTCACCATTATAACCATTGTATGTAATTCATGGGGCAATTAACATTCCATAATCAGAGACCCTTTTGGACTGCTAATGCTTTTATGGCCGAGAAAATTGACTTAAGGCTTACCCCGATGGTATCTGCATAGTTTGTTATCTGCATACGAGATTAGTTATTAAGGTGATGTGATGGAATTATTCCATGGATTTTCCATGTGACATGCAGATAGGGCATGCGGCATACAGAACCCCATATGCTGAGGCATACCTTTAGGCGTTGGTCCCAATTTGAACAGAAGAAATGCGGTGACTGTCACACAGCTTACTCACCTCACCTCACCTTCAACACTACTAAACAAATGGAATTATCTGCAAATATGGGAGAGCTGTATCTCCCCCAACAGTTTCCGGTAGAAACTAATTTCCGCTTCTGAGTTGAGTTGCACTCTCGTAAATGAGCTCGATTGTGGCAGGGACCCTTCGCTTTTATTTGAAGCAGAAGTTCTTCTCGATGTTGGGTGATTTTTATCAGTTCCCATTTCGAGTGGAGTAAACATGCCCCTGTGACTCATACGCATACCTTTCACTCCCTACGACAACCACATCCAATGACGCAATGATCCGACAATGCAACGCTTTCTTTTCTATCTACAGTTCGGTGTAATGGCTCGCCCATTGAGGATGAAACAGACTACCAGGGCGATGACTACGACTATGGGGAGTCTGATGCTGAGGATGACGTAGAAGGAGCAGATCCGCCCGAGGTCCAGGATCTGTCCGGTTCGCCGCCATACTTTGACCAGACCGAGCTGAGGATCGAGGCCAAGCCCGGAGACTCTGTGATCCTCAATTGTGATGCACGCAATTTCCAGAGTGAGTTTATCCACGAAAGAGTTTTCCCCCAAGAGGTTTGGATTTAATGAGTACTCCCTATCGATAGTCAACAACGCGGTGATGTGGTACAAGGGCAGTACGATCATTGCGAATGGACAGAATGCAATTAGCCACCGGGTGGAGGGTATGAAGAACAACTCGATCCTGCTGAGGGATGTCACGCCGGACGATTCCGGGGAATACTATTGTGCCATATTGCCGCAGAACGTTCGACAACTCACGACACTGAGGGTGGGCGCCCGGCTGTCGATCCTTTGCGACGATCGCGATATAACGGGTCGCTCGCAGACGTTCAGGCAGGGCGACCACCACAAGCTCGAGTGTCGAACGTACACGGGCACAGAGACCAGCATCAAGTGGTCGTTTAATGTATGTTAACCAGATCAGACCGAGATCATCCTCATCACATCCACTTACCCGCGTCCCTACCCCACATTCCACACAACTACTTTCAGGGTCAGCGCATGGAGTCGTCGCCCGATGACACTGCCGATGGGATCGTTGTGCTGGACAACGTGGACGAGATGAATGCCGGCGTGTACCAGTGCCTCGGTGACGATGGCAGCCGCGATCCCCCCCACGGCATGGTCACAATCGATGTCCACTACAGCCCCAAGGTCTCGACGCACCGGCACCACGTGAACACAGAGGATGGCGGCACTGCCGAGATGTACTGCAACTATCGCGCCAATCCCATTGCCATCAGCTTCTTTATCAAGGATGGGAAAACTCTGCAGCTGTCCGAGAAGTACTCGATCAAGAACTCCTTCCACAATGGGCACAATCGCACCACGTTGGTTGTCAAGGATGTGGATGTGAGCGACCTGGGCGAGTATCTGTGCCACGTGGAGAACGCCATTGGCTCCAACGAGGCCAAGATCCACCTCAGCTACAACCCGGAGACGCCGCAATTCGAGGACATGACCATTGACGACACCAAGGTCACCATGCACTGGCTGGTGCGCAGTCTGCAGCCTCTGTCCGAGGCCATGCTCGACTACAAGCTCACAGGGGTAAGCATTCTGTTCTGCAGCTCCATCAGAAATCTGACTAATCAGACCGTATCCATCTCCATCTCCGTTCAGTCGTACACTTGGAGCACCGTTTCGGTTCTGCAGACGCAGCGACACAATCAGACGGGAGGCATCTGGAAGATCACGCATCAGCTGGATCTGCCTGCGAGAGGCCTGTGGCATGCACGCGTAAAGACGAAGAACACCCAGGGATGGTCCAACTTCTCGCCAGATCACGATTTCCGATTAGCGGACGATGACGGTGAGTCATCTCTGGTGCATCTCTGTGTAATGTCCTAGCCATGTACTCACCTTCCCCTCTCTTTGCCCGTGTAGCATCCAATGAGCTTACCGATATGGAGCTGCCACCCGACCAGATCATGCGCGCCGGCATCGGCTCAGTGGGAGGTGGAGCAGCATCAGCGTTACAGCAGCTGCCTGCTGGCTCGATCTTCTTGGCAGGTCTCAGCGTGCTCTGGCTGCGGCTGCGTCTCTAAGGGGTGCCACTCTGTGCCATCCGGTGGACTGTACATACGTATTTCCGGATCACAAGCATCGAAGGAAACAGCACACACACACAAACACATACGAAACGCAAATAGGAAAAGAAACTAAAGTATTCTAATTATACAAAATGCTAATGCGCGCTGCTCCGGCAGCCAATACTTGCTTGGGGTCAATGTTAATGCTAATCCCCATGCTATAACGCACGCTGGAGCGATCACCATTGAAACATTTGTGCCAAGCAGAGGATGTAGACGACACGGGGAGGACTACGAGCGAATTAAAGTTAATTTAGTTTAGTTAAAGTTAATGTTGAAGAGTTGAAGGTATGTGGAAGTGGAACTGGAAGTGGATGTGGACTAGGACTGGTTAAAAACCGCCCAAAAAGGAACTTTTGATTAACCTTAGCTGTAATATTTATTTGTTTTGTATGATATACGAGTGTGAGTGCATGTGAGTGGTGGCAGTGAGGACGAGAGAGAAACTTCCTTGTTACCTGAACCCGAACCGATGACGAATACAAAACGAGAGCGAGCCAACTGCTTGGGAAGCGCTCACCCTGGCTTAGATATGGCAAACTGCCTGGATCTAATCGAGTGTGAGCAGGTCGTCCGTCCCCTTCCTGGGCAGTGGCATAGTGTAGATACAAAAAATGGGAAAGGATCTAGTGACTTTTTAGGATTTGCAATATGTACACAATATTTTTGGATAGCCAAGCGTACTTACGGCATTTTTGTGACAGAATCAATGGGTGACGGGAGGGAGGCACGGAGGCAGGAAGGCGAGAGATCAATCGAATGTGGCACGCGAATTATTATATACAACTAGACCAAAGCTTAGACATACATATGTATGTACATGTGTACTTACTACCCATACATACATACATATGATACCTATTTTTACGAGGCCTACGCCACACATCAACTCAATGGGAACCAGATGAAACCGATACGAACATTACACATCAGAATGAACGGGATGCGTATGTACTTATAGTTAAGAGATATTTAACAAATCGAAGAGAGAGAGAGAGAGCTATATACAGCCATACTTAATCATAATCAGGCCTCACACCTTTGTCTTTGATTCTGCTACAATACCTGAGGGGAAATCGCCATAACATGCTGACCATATACAATCTACGTACGTGTGTATCTACATATACGATAATCAAATTGTGAGTGTAAGAATATATTTTATATATATTTTATTTAAGAATTATAACATTTAGAGCTGATCAATAAAATAAACGTGCCAACGGAAGCAATCAATGGTAATTGATTCTTCGGAGAAATCAATCAAAAGAAAGTTCCATAAACAAAGTTTCGACAGTCGACCTTTAAGAATACATACATACATAAATATATAAAGAATCATATATACACACATACTATACATACATTTGGGTATGTATGCACATCTTAAAGCCAGTGTCTTACATGAATATTGTAATTTTGTTGAGTCCACAAAAAATGAAAAGAAATATAACTAAACTAAACAAATTGTGTAATTATTCTTTTACTCTCATAGAGATCACGCCAGAAGAAACGAATCGATCCAATCGAAGGGAGAACTCACACAAATATTGATTTCATGCCGCAGTTTCTGTATACTTTGGTTCCTTTTTTTATTTAATAAATAAAGTTGATTTTGTCTTTACAAATACACAAATTTACAATCAACAAAGACTTCAGATGCTCATTTTCCTGTGAGAAGAGTGGAGAGTGGAGAGTGAAGAGTGAAGAGGGGATAGGGCACACGGTACATATTTTCATATGTATCTCTGTAAATGTAATACTAGACTAAAACTAATGTCTGCCGATCTTCAGCAGACAGACTCCAGTGAGCACCGCCCACAGGAGCGAGAAGGGGAGGCTGGGCATACTGCTTGACGCTGAGGTGGAGCTCTCCGGTGCAATGGCATCGAGGGAATGTTCGGCGATGACCACCTTGGTGTTCAGAATAGATCCCTGTGGCAGAGCCTTGCAGTAGTAATCTCCGGCATCTTGTGGACTTGCCTTCAGTATGGTCAGGTCGTAATTTTCAGTGTCTAGCTTAAAGTTGGGCTGCACCAAAGTGCCACCATTGGCGATGATATTCGTCCCAAAGAACCACAAGATGCTCTCTGAAAGGTGAAAGAAGGGGGTCAATGAGGTATGTAGATAAAGGGCAAACAGCACAGCAACTTACGGGTGGTGTCCAGGTCGCACTTGAGGACCACATCCTCGCCGCGAATGCCAGTTACTGTTACGGTTCGGTTTGGCGGCGCACGGCCGTCAGACTTGGCAGGAATTTGGCTCTGAATCTTCGTCTGCTGGCTGGAGGCACTCTGGTCATCCTGTTCGTACTCAAAATCATCATCCGCCATCATTTCCTCATCGTCGTTGCCGGATTGGGGGTAGGAGAACACTGAAACAATGATAAATATAACGATTAGACATAAAATTCCAGGATCCACCATTCCAGAGCATAATTATAGCCCGATGCGAGTGATGATGCTTCAATTGTTTACAATAGCAGCCGTGGGGGGTCGCAGTCCCAGCTACCACCACATTTAGTCGGTGGGTTAATTAAGCGAAATTAAATGGAAATTGAAACCAACTTGAAATGCATTAGGCCCATCATCATCCGGCTATCAGCATCTGTGTTTTGTTTGCGTTCCTCAATTTTGCAGCTCAATTTCAGCGGCATGACTGGAGAGGACACACCGGGAACAGCTGCACTGATGATGGGTTAAAGGCGATTCGCATTCACCGTTTCCCATTCCTCATTATTTTCATTCTTTTCGTTTTCCTCCTCACACATCACATGCACATGCACACGCATGTACAAACAACATACATATTTTGTCGAAAACATTTCGGTGAAATGGGGTCACATGAAAAACGAAAATTAAAATGAGCGTATGGAAAGAGAAAACAACAAGAGAACACTAGCACACCCCCCTCTTTGGCTGGCCTGCCCAAGGTATATTGAATGGACGGTAGTCAGTGTGCATACTAGACCTTGGCGACAGTCACACTGCCTTACCCACCAAGCAGTATACATTGGGTCTGCCTCTCCCTCTCCCACTTTCTGGGGTGTTGGTGTTGGTGTTGGTGCAACGGTGTCGGTCGGGTCGGGCGATCGCCGCCGCACCCACATGTAACGTGCTGACGGGAATGGCAGCAGCGGGACGGTGGGCTACTTTTGTTTTTGGTGGTGTCACCACCACCACCACCGAAGCGATGCGATGGATGGACGGCCGCCACACAGCATTGAAAGCATTTCACAACAATGTCCATTTTCATAGTGCCAACTGCAGCACATACGCAAACACAAACTGCCACACACACCCTCGGAAAAGGGACAGTCTGATGATTGTGAAAAGTTTAAATTTACATTTGGTACATTTGCTTGGGCTCTTGTCTTCCTGTGTGCGTTTATTTATTATGGCCACTGTTGTGTCGCTTTTCTGCTGCTCAGCCTTGCGTGGTTTAGTTGTTGGCGGTACAGCGAAATCAAATAAAAGAATGGAACGCTTGTACGAAGATTTTAATACCCTGGCAGATCGATCGTTACCATGGGAATATATGATACGAAACTTCACTTGTGCAAATCTAGCTAAAATCATATTACCCTACTTTGAATAGGCACGAATATAAGGTATTAAGGGGGCTTCCAATTCCAGTTCCTGCCGTCTCGTGCAAGAGAAAGGATTGAGTAAATGGAATGAATTGGAATTGGAAAGCGAACAGCGATCAACAACAACTACTACAGCGAAAGAGCTTGACGAGCACTCTCTTTTTCTTCTCCTTGCATTCCTATTGCGTTGCCTGAACCATAGCCTCCCTCCCCCTCTCACACAAAAAAAATGCACATTCACTCACGCATTGTCCGAGCGGGTTGGCTGCTCTTTTGTCGTAAACTTAGGCCATAAAAGAAATTTATTCTCGTATTTATGTACATTGAACCAAGCGGCAGAAACCCCCCAAAATTATGTTTTGTATCTTTTTGGCTTTTTTCTTCCACCACAAAAAAATCCATCGAACCAGGAAGATAACAACAAATGTGAGGAAATTCTCATTGCGGATTTGATCTGAATGATCTGCAGGCCTTCCGCCTGCACGAGGAGAACTTCCGTAATTCTAGGAAAAATGTCTATGTGAGTGGATACAAGAAAACAATAAAAGTACTTAAAAATGTAATAAAAATTGTATCGTTTTTTTTTTTTTTGGTTGATAAGGTTCTATTGAGGGGGAAGTTAAGCGAATATTTTATTTCACAATTCTTAAGAAAGGAGCCACAAGAGTCTAAAGAGAAAGTCTTGAGGAATTGTTATATTTCTTATTGGGAAGCATTTACTTGAATTAAAACATTACTTTACGGTGCTGTTCCTAATTTCTGGCTCTACTCTTATAATCTTTTACCCTTCTCTTTAATCTTTGTAAAAACATTACCTCAAAAATTATATTTTTCCCGGATTATGTTCTGGTCTATGTTTTCCCAATCTCTAGAGATAAAAGTTTCCTTCCCTTAACCCATGTTCCTGCCCAACTTTAATTGGTACTTAGAACTGGACCAAAAGTAATTTATCATAACGATGATATCGTACAAAAAAAAGAGGGAATAAAATGCAGTTCTGAGTCGGCTAATAACTCGAAAAGTCAAGTTAGCTTTAATGCCAGTCACTCACTCCCTCCAGCCACTACTTTTGGCCCTTTGGCCCTCTCCTTCTGGCAGGCCGGGAATCATTCAAGTGCAGCATTTTTGTTGTCTTTACTACCTGTGATAAGGCCTGTAGAAATTAAGAGCCAGCTCTCTGATCTTTGATCTCCTTTCTGTGTGTGTGTGTGTGTTTTCAGCTCAACGCTGTCTGCCTGGGTCGCCCTGTCCCCTTTGCCTGAACGTGACTGACCAGACCCATACCCCGACCCAGTCAGTAGCATAGCCAGACCCTGGCCCGGTGTGGAGTGGAGTGGAGTGCAGTGCAGTGCGTTATATGAGCCGAAAATTGTCTGTGTTGTGTGGCAGGAGGAGGTCTCTTTGTCTGAGTGCACGAGTGTATCCGTGTGAGGCAGGCAGATAGAGACATGAGGCAAGGCGGATAATGATAATGGCATTCTGGTTCTGTGAAAGCGATCAGGTTACGGCCACGAAGCGACAAAGAGAGAGAACATCATAAAATGAACCGAACGACTACCTACGCACAGAGGACTCCCAATTGGCCAGGAGCAGAGGGACAGCCATTGAGGGGGAGGGTCGCATCCCAGCCCAGACGCATCGGATCGTTTGAGGCAGATGTGCGGATCATTGACAGATGCCCAAAATAGCACAGATTATTCGCATTCCGTTTGGGCGTGTGTCTGGAAGGGATTGAGGGATTGAATTGGCCAAAGAGTGCAGAATATTTTGCAGGCAGATGCTGCAGACGCTAGCCGAAAACTAATTGAGAATTTTCCATTTTCTAAATAGAGAAAATATGCAAATCCAGTACGCATTTCAAATGAATGACTGTCTTCAATTTCTCTAATCGATTCATTTCTGTTTTTGTATTTGTTCGATGTGGTCTTGGGGATGGTGGCGGATATAGACCGGCATCAAGTGGCATCAATAAATTTCGATTTTCAGTGATCCACAACATGTTGAATGTATGTATGTATATGCTTTCATGTGCTTATTTATAATGTTGATGTACATATGTACATATGCGCATATATATTCCCATCCGAACACAGAACTTTGATTTCACTTAAACGATTTTCCATTGCGCCGTCCACTGATCGTCCACTGACGCCTTCAACATACCATTCCATACATTCTGTTCTTGGGGGCTCACCAACGTAAAGTAGACATAGACATGCCCATGTCCCCTCTTGGCAGTGCTCCCTCTTCTGTGCACGTGTCGGCAGCACTTAGATGGGGCAAGTGCCACGGATTGTGCGGGCACCCAGCCAACAGAGGAGGGTCGGTTCGGCCATATAGCCGGCTACTATATAGTCATTCCGAGTCAGAGTCATGGTAGCCAAAGTGGTCGTAGATGAGCGGCGCAGGGCTAGGCGCGACTCTGGCTACGCCTAGCGCATATTAAATTGCCGCAAGAGGCAGGGCTCGTGTTTTCTTCATTCCCATTCCCATTCCCATTCCGAGTCCCATTTCCATTCAAGTGGCTCGGGCTCTGGCGGCTTCTAATTAATATGCGGCACTCCTTTCTTGTTCTTCCCCTAGGCAGAAACTATTTGGGCAAGGTTTGTTCTTCGATTTGGGTTATTTATTGCCATTTGGCGGTCTGTCCTCCATTTGGGATGGTTCGTAAACCCTTCGTTGCCGTAGCTAGACAACTCAGCTTTGGGATCCACAGACATTTTGGCACAAGGCACA